GGGCGCCTGGGTGGCTCAGTGGGTTAAGCCTCTGCCTTCAGCTCAGGTCATGATCCCAGGGTCCTGGGATCGAGCCCCACATCGGGCTCTCTGCTCTGCGGGGAGCCTGCTTCCCCCTCCTCTCTGCCTGCTTGTGATCTCTGTCTCAAATAAATAAAATCTTAAAAAAAAAAAAATTTCTATCCCCCCCAAAAAAAATTAAAAGAAATTTAAAAAAAAAGGTGATGGAGCACCTAGGTGGCTCAGTTGGTTAAGCGGCTGCCTTCACCCAGGCCATGATCCCACGGTACTGGGATCGAGCCCCATATCAGGGTCCCTGTTCAGCAGAGAACCTGCTTCTCCCTCTCCCTCTGCCTGCTGCTCTGCCTACTTGTGCTCTCTCTCTGTCAAAAATTTAAAAAAAAAAAGAAAAAAAATTTTTAAACAAAGGCTCTTGTACACCAACATGCATCATTCACCTTGAAAATGCACGTTTTGGGGGTGCCTGGGTGGCTCAGATGGTTAAATGTCTGCCTTCAGCTCAGGTCATGATCCCAGGGTCCTGGGACTGAACCCCACCTCAGGCTCCCTGCAGTGGGGAGCCTGCTTCTCCCTCTCCCTCTCCCACTGCTTGTGCTCTCTCTCTGTGTCAAACGAAGGAAGGAAGGAAGGAAAGAAGGAAATGCATGCCTTCTTGGAAGGGGCCTACTCAATCAGATCACAGAAAGTTTAAAAAAAAAAAAAAAAAAGTAAAGGAAGATTGAGGAAGAGTCAGAAAATCAAGCCGAATAGTCACATGTGTAGACAAACTTGGAAGGCATTCTCTACTAGCTGCCTCAGAAACATAAAATTATGAAACCAAGAAATTAATAACTCTAGGACCACATTCACTGTCATCTGACCCGCAGTTATGCCTAATTCACCAGATTCATCCTAATGCTTCATACTGTCCCTTCTTCCTATAAAGACGCTGTCACTGTGTCTGGTTCATGTTATACCAAAATCAGAATGGAGCTCTTTAAAAATACATCTGCTCTGGCTTCACACCATACCTACTAAATCAGGAGCTACAGAGTGAAGGCCAGTGTGGTAGACAGACCCTTAACTAAGTGTTTTTGGAGTAAATGTCTGGTTCCTAAGAAAGAGGGGTAAGAAGTTTCCTTCTCTGTAGTAAAGAATAAGGCTTAAACAGGTTCATCAAGTCGCAGTTTACTTCACACTAATACATCAAAGCTCTAGTTTCCAATGGCTGGGACGCCAGTTCCATAGGTCATAGCATGCTTGGTTTGTTTTCAACCACATTTTAGCTGACATTCACTCTGCTCCTCAGTAAAGTAAGGGTGCTGAACCGGAACAATGCTTCCCAAATTCCTACAAGGATCTGTGTGAGTCCAATCCTAAATGAAATGAAAATAACCAGGTCCATGTAGTGTTTCATAAAGCTAAAAGTACTGGGGCACCTGGGTGGCTCAGTCAGTTAAGTGTGTGCCTTTGGCTCAGGTCATGATCCTGGGGTCCTGGGATCAAGCTCCCCATCAGGCTCCCTGCTCATTGGGGAGTCTGCTTCTCTCTTTCTCTCCCTCTGTGTGTGCTCTCTCTCTAGCCCTTGCTCTCTCTCTCACTCTCTTAAATAAATAAATAAAATCTCTTTAAAAATTATTACAAAAATATTGCACAGAAAGTTTAGAAACTGCAGATAACACCCACAATGTAAGCTCCACAAAGACAGAGATTTTATCTGCTTTGTTTGCTGCCGTAACCCCAACATCCAAAAAAGTACCTGTATAGGTGGCAATATGAATTAATAAATGAGCAGACAAAAATAGAACAATTAAAAACAAAACACAATCCCACTGGGGCACCTTGGTGGCTCAGTCAGTTGAGTGGCTGCCTTCGGCTCAGGTCATGATCTTACGGGTCCTGGGATCAAGCCCCCCATCAAGCTCCCTGCTCAGAGGAGAGTCTGCTTCTCCCCTCCACAACTCATGATCACTCTTTCTCGCTAATAAATAAATAAAAATCTTAAAAAGCCACAATTCCTCTAACTACAGGAAGACTTTAATTTGAATCCTCAGTGTGAACTTAACCACAGCAACTTTAAAAATTCACCACACTCCAGAATCAAAATACTTAGGAAAAAAATGCTTAACGAATCAATGTTGTTGTTGTTTTTAATGACTTTATTTATTTATTTGACAGACAGAGATCACAAGTAGGCAGAGAGGCAGGCAGAGAGAGAGGAAGGGAAGCAGGCTCCCTGCTGAGCAGAAAGCCTGACTGGGGGTGGGGGGGGGGGGGGCGTTTCCATCCCAGGACCCTGAGACCATGACCTGAGCCGAAGGCAGAGGCTTAACCCACTGAGCCACCCAGGCACCCCTTAACGAACCAATGTTAAAGAAATTTCTATTTGACTGTTCCAAGGGACTTCTTTCACTATAAAACCATAAAACCATAAAACATAAAACCACTTTTATGCAGTCACTCCCCTATGCAAAAACCTTTCACACAGTTCACTTCATTCTTTTTACGTAAGCTCTACACCCAATGTGGGGCTTGAACTCACTACCCCAAGATTAAGAGTCACATGTTCTACGGACTGAGCCAGACAAGAGCCCCCAGAAACTTTTTTTTTTTTAACCACAACCTACCCATCAGCTTCCCATATCTTACTTCTATTAGAGACACCCTCTGTTCTAAATTCAACTACACAATATAACCTGCCCCTCTGCCTTTGCCTCTGACCCTGTCTATCAAAAATTGGTACTAATCCTGTTCAGGTTCAGAAAGATACTCTCTCCTTCAAGAAACCATCCGTCCCGCGGTGCCCAGGCAGAAGTGATGATTCCAACTCTCTTCTTAGCTACTGTAATTTTTCACTATCAGCAGCAATTAACAAAGACCACCTCACTTTGGGGTTAAGGTCTACATTTTCCTTCCCCACTGTATTGCAAATTCCCTGTGGGAAGGGACTTTTGCCTTATAAATATTTGTATCTACCCTTTTCTCTCTGCCTACCTCAATCCAAGTACCTGGCATTTAGAATACACGAAATGAAGACATGAACAAATGAAATGATGTGCTTCAGAGGGCCTCCCTTTTCCCTGCACCTGCTTGGAAATCACTGGACATCAGAAATTTATTACTGCAACTATGGCTAGCCTAGATATCTGGAATTCTTAAATTCAAACTCCCTTCTTATCGACTGTTATATATTCTCTGATATTAACAGATACCCACACCCTTCCTTGTAATTCAAAGCCAAAAGCCAGTTTGAGAAGAACCCAAATGGAATGTGATGCAAGTGTGAAGTAGGGGATTTCCCAATGTTTACAGGAAAAAAAAGTTGCTATAGCAGAATGGTACAGGCAAGGCCAGGCATTTTATAAGGAAGCTGTAAATGGCTGACCAGAACTATTCTTCGCTGGGTCTCAGATGTAATTTACCTCTTAGTGTATTCATATGTGTGTATTCATATTCCTGAGAAGAACCTAAAAATGAGGCCAGCCCCTTCTTGAGTAATATCAGTGGGACCAAGCAAGGATGATGGATGTCACAACCGTGTGACAAAACACGGAAGAAGGAAAACTGAGAAAAGTAAAGAGGTACAGGGGTACCTGGCTGGCTTAGTCAGTAAAGTGTGAGACTCTTGATCTCTGGGTTGAGAATGTGAGCCCCATGCTGGGTGTAGAGATGACTTAAAACAAAATCTTAAAAAAGAAAGGAGGTACAAAGATGAGAAATCATCAAGAGTTCTCACCAGCTGTCCAGGGGCCTCCTAGTGGCACCCCTCAATCTGCTTTCCGCTGAGACAGACTAATGGAGTCTACGCTAAGATGTCAAGGAGCAAGTTGATCATTACCAGGGATTTTTCCTTTCTGCCATTCCCATTTTCATTTTGAAGTAAAAAATGAGTACTGGACAATGAAGTCAGCCCTTTCACAAGCTGTCAATTTTGAGTTTGATTCATTACGCATAAGGTTATTGAGCAAGATATTTTGTTAAGGTGATAAGAGGAGCAAAATACATGAACCCATCCCTGCCCTTAAGGAGTTCCCAATCTGGCACAACTTAAATATCAATCTCCAGAACACTGTGGAGAACACTTCCCAATCCCAGGTTACTCTTGGATACAAAATTTTAACATTAATTGCAACTATTTCACCCAAATCTTGTGACAGAAAGGCCACACCAGTAACATGGAAACAATTTTTTAATGATAAACCTTCTCAATCATAAGATTTTACGACCCTCTTTTTTGGAAGCGGTTCTAAAATCTACCCCCCCCCCCAAAAAAAAGACAAAACCAAAAGAAAAAGGTCTGAGAATTCAATTAAGAGTAAATCCTACATCGAGGTAATCTATAGTCAGTGGTTGTCAACCTTGGCTGCAATCAATCACCCGTGGAGCTTCTAAAAACTCCCAAAGCCCAGGCTGCTCCTGGGAGGAGTGAAATCAGAAGCCGCGGGAGTGGAACCCACAGCAGAATTTTCCCAGCTCCTCAGGTGATTGGAATGTGCGGTCAAGGGCGAGAACCCCTGCTGCAAATCATTCTGCCCCTGGAAGTGAAAGGAGAGGATCAGGATCCGTCTTCCTCAAGGATCAGTACCCAATCCCGCTCCTCGACTCCCCTACCCCCCACACCAGCTGCGATTTTTCCACGGGCAGTTGTTTCACAGATCTGGGGATGAGATCAAGGATGGGTTGCCATACTCTTCCACCTTGAGGAGGGAGGATGCAGTGAAGTTCTGTTAGGTTTAACCACCTGCGGTTAACACTGTCCCTGAGCTGGCACAGACCACGGCTTGGGTTTGGGAGCCGCAGGGAAGCCCTTCACACTTGTCCCCTCTAAACCTGCTGGGGACACTGACCTCAGACGCGGGTGGGAAAGCGGAGAGCACGGCGCTGGGGACCCATCCCCGGACAGACGGACCTAGGCGCTAGGAAAGAGGACAGGCTGCCCCTGCAGAGCGCGGAGAAAGCCCGGCTGCGAGACGACGCGCCGCGGGGGACCTCGTACTCACGCATGTTCCGCCCAGCTTGTGGCTCTCCACCACCGCGGCCCTAGCACCCAGCTCCGCCGCCCTGCGGGCGCTGGCCAGCCCGCCCGAGCCGCCCCCGATCACCAGGTAGTCGTAAGAGGCCACGACGCCGGCGGCAGGCGGAGGGCGCTGCGGCTGCGGCTCCTGCCTGCAAGCCATAGCGCGGGAGACAGCGCGGGTGGGCCGCGGCTGAGGCAGCGGGAAGTGGGGGAAGGCGCGCGCCACTCGCCGCCAGCTCGGCCCGGCGTTCCCGCTCAGGGCCCTGCGCAGCAGGGCCATGCACGCGGAAGTGCGCGCGAAAGGCGGGGGGGGGGGGGGGCGGGCGGTCCGGGAGAAAGCGAGGAGGGGGGGCCGGGGCCCCCGGCTAGCGCAGCCTCACGGTGACTAAGCACCCGGCCCGGACGCGGGTTGGGGGGGGCATGCGGGGAAGGGGTGGGGCTCCCTGGCCGCTGCCCCGCGGGCTCCCAGGGGAACCCGCCCCTACCCCGCCCCCACCCCGCCCCACCGCGCGCCAGCCAGCCGGGCGGGCCAAACCGACCCGGTTAGCGGGGGCTCTCTCCGCCATCACCCCAGCAGCCGGGACCCCGCACCCGAGTGGTATCAACCGGATGTAGGTTTCCGAAGGCCTGTGGGGCGAGGAAGGAAGAACGCCCTCTTTTGTTTCACCCGCCTTTTCCTGAGCGGGCACCTTGGGAGTTGGCAGTGGAGTCAATTTCTCGAGGAAGGGAGGTTTGCCCTTCATTATTTTGGAGGGTGGTGTTTCTCAAAGTTTGTTCCGCAGGCCACCTGGAGGGCTGATTTGCCGATTCCTGGGCTTTAATCCAGACAGGCTAAATCGGATTCTCGGGGGCCGGACCCCAGCCATCTATGCTTTAAACAATTCTCTAGCTTTCACGTGACTGTAAAGCACATTTAGTTTGGGAAACATTGGAATAAATATTTTGGTGATCCACAAGTTAAGCATAAAGATAGGTTAGAGACGGAGATACAAAACCATTTTACTCCCAAGCAAGAGAGACTGGAGTGTCGTTTTAGAGTATCTGGAACTACCAATTGCACAATTTGTGTGGTGATAAGCCAATTTGTGTGACCCAAGCCATCACCCACAGGTTGAGGGCCCTCTCTCTAGCCCGAGGAGTGAAGGTCCATGTCAGAGAAGCTGGACCCAGCACACTGAAGGGGAATGGAAACTAACTACACTCCAGTTAAAACGGTATCCACTTCTTTTTTTAAGCCTTTTTTCTTTACTGCTTAGAAAGTAATATAGGGGAAGAAGAAGCAACAGAGTTAGGAAAATCAACATTTTGCAACTAGCCTAATGATAATTGTTGTGTCATTAAACATCAGTAAATATGAGAACCACTTGATGGGGAGAAGCTTATTTACACAATCTTAGAATATGTCCCCACAGCTTGCTATTGATCACAAAGGGAGGAAAGTAACTTTACAGGGTGCCAGACACCACCATACCCAAGTGATCAAAATATTGCCAGTAATGAAACCATTATTGTGGGTGCTGCGATGTGATGCAGTAAGACGTACACAGCTTAACTTCACTATGTAGTAGTTGTGCTGGAAATCCATAATCTCAATCTAATCATGAGGTAACACTCAGAAAAACACACACTGAAGAGAATTTTACAAACAACTGGCCCATACTCTTTATCAATGCCTTGGGGCACCTGGGTGGCTCAGTCGGTTGGGTGTCGCAACTCTTGGTGTCCACTCAGGTCATAATCCCATGGGTCCTGGGACTTAGCCCTGCCACTGGCTCTGTGCTTAGCAGAGGAGTCTGCTTGAAGATTCTCTTCCTTTGCCCCTCCCCGCCCTCTTTCAAACAAGTAAATAAATCGTTAAACAAAATAAAATATCTAGCTATCAATAAGAGCTATCAATGTCTTAAAATTAAAACAAGGCAAAGGAACTATTCTTGGTTAAAGAATATTGAAGAGTTATGAGAAATAAAGACAAGGCTTGATCCTGGATGAGACTCAGAAATGGGGAAAATTCACTATAAAGGATAGTTGGTGAAATTTGAAATGTGGCCTATATATCATGGTACTACATCAAAGCATAATTTGCTGAGTGTGATCTTTGTACTGTGGTTATGTAAGAAAATATCCTTGTTCTAAAGAGACACACACAAGTATTTAGGAGTAAAGAGTCTGAGTCTGAGAAACTTGGGTGCATTTCCCACCACAGGCACTGTCATGGTCGCTCCACCTCTCTAAGTGTCCGTTTCTTCATCTATAAAATGGGAAAGCTGACAAAAAGGAGGTAGGCTTGTCAAATAAAGAGAATAACCTCCGGTGGAGGTGAGTTGGTAGGATAATGAGGCAGTAGATAGGTAAGTAGAAGAGCGCTGATTGGCTGGACTGTAGGCACTTTGAAAGGCGGGATGGGAGATGGGTGGAGTCCTGGAAGGCCTTGCTTGGAAGGCGGTAAGGAGTTGTTGAAGATTTCTCAGGGGTGTCTTACTATGGAAATATATGAAATGAACTGGAAATGGCGAAATTGACTGTGTAGGAGGCCAAGGCAGCAGTTTAGAGAACAAATATTTAGGAACAGATTGCACAGGCATAAGGAACCGAAGACAGATTGGAGGGAGGGTACAATAGTGACATTTTGGGGGCGCCTGGTTGGCTCAGTGGGTTAAAAGCCTCTGCCTTCGGCTGGGGTCATGATCCTAGGGTCCTGGGATCAAGCCCTACCTCGGGCTCTGCTTATCAGGGAGCCTGCTTCCTCCTCTCTCTGCCTGCCTCTCTGCCTACTTGTGATCTCTGTCTGTCAAATAAAATTTCAAAAAAAAAAAAAAAAATAGTGACGTTTTGAACCCAGGAAATACGGGAGGAAAATGATGCCATAAAACAACATAAAGAAGATAAACGGAGGTAAAGATCTATGCATCCCTGCTGGTTTTAAAGGAGGAAAGAACTTTTTACCACCTAATTACATAAACCCATCCAATATGTTGAAACTAAAGATTTATAAGGTATTGTTTGGGACTAAAATACTTTATTCTCAAATAAGCATTTTTACCTTTGCTTCTGACTTACACGGGAAGGGGAACAAGTAACCACATCCCAGGCACTTGAAGGCTTCAAACTGTTTCTAAGTTTTCTTCAAGCAAAAAAGTTACCAACTACACTAAAAATTTAGTCAATGTAGTTAGGAAGAGGTAGTTTCAGGATGATATTAAGTGCTAGAAATGTGGACAACTCGCTGGCATAGTCAGAAGAGCGCACAACTCTTGATCTCTGGGTCTCGAGTTTGAGTCCCACATTTCGTATAGAGATTACTTAAATAAATAAATGCTGAGAATGAAAATCAACAAAGTTATTCAAGTGTGACAGTCTTGTGATGTCATTATAAATTAGCATGATTTGTGTGAAAGAGCAGAGCCCCAAGCAGTTATTTCATCTCTTAATAATTTCATCATTGAGGGTCCCTAGGTGTCTTAATCAGTTAAGCATCTGCCTTGGGCTCAGGTTGTGATCCCAGAGTCCTGGGATGGAGTTCCCCTGTCAGGCTCCTTGCTCAGCTGGGAGCCTGCTTCTGCCTCTGCCTGCTGCTCCCCCTGCTTGTGCTCAAGCTATCGCTCTTTCCCTTTCCCTGACAAATAAATAAAAATCTTTTAAAAAAATTATTTCTTCTTGAATTGTTCTTTGAACACTAGACAAACTCAGGTGATTTCCACAGACACACTGAAATATTTGTCAAAATAATTAATATATATTGAAGTAAGCGCTGTGCTTAAGAGCTTTATTAGGTGCAGTACTAAGAACTTTATGTTAACCCCTCCTCAACCCAAGAAATAAATACCATTATTATCTCCATTTTATAACTGAAAAGAATGAGATTCAAAGAGGATAGATAAAAACAAACAAACAAAAAAAGAGGATAAATAACTCATACAAGATTACACAGCTGTGAATGGCAGAGCTGGAATTCGAATCCTAGAGACCTAACTCTAAGTCTATTCTCTTAACCATTACAGGAAAGAAACCATTATAGATAGTGTCCTATGGCAAAAATAAAAGATTCAAGATTTTTTAATAAAGACTTTATCTATTTGAGAGAGAGAGCACAAGCAGGGGGAGCAGCAGGCAGAGGGAGAGGGGGAAGCAGGCACTCCCACTGACCAGGGAGCCTGATGTGGGGCTCGATGCCAGGACCCAGGGATCATGACCGGAGCCAAAGACAGATGTCCAACCAAATGAGCCACCCAGGCACCCTGATCCAAGATTTTTGTAAATGATATTTTGTGTAGGAGAAAATTTCGAGTATCATTTTTAGCTCTTCTTCATTTATCGATTTTTAAAAACCATTGAGAATTTACATGCATAAAATTTACCCACTGTGTGTATAATTAAATGGTTTTTAAAATCTTTAATTAGGGGCACCTGGGTGGCTCAGTGGGTTAAAGTCTCTGCCTTCAGCTCAGGTCATGATCCCGGAGTCCTGGGACCGAGCCCCGAATCCTCCTCTCTGCTCAGTGGGAAGCCCGCTTCCCTTCCTCTCTCTCTGCCTGCCTCTCTGCCTACTTTTGATCTCTGCCTGTCAAATAAATAAAAATCTTTAAAAAAAAATTAAAATAAAATTTTTAATTATACATATATATTTCAGGTATACATATATTTGTATAGTGATTTAGCAATTCTATACATCACTCAATGCTCCTCATAACCATAATCCCCATCACCTATTTCACCCATTCCCCCACCCACCCACCCTCTTTTTCTATAGTTAAGAGTCTGGGTTTTTTGTGGGGGGTTTTTTGTCTCTTTTTTTCCTTTGTTCATTTGTTTTGTTTCTTAAATTCAACATATGACGGAAATTGTATGGCATCTGTCTTTCTCTGAATAGCTTGTTTCATTTAGCTTTATACCCTTTTTTAAAAAAATGCAGCCTCTTTTTCCCTCTGGATTCCTTCTATGGTGTAATTTGTAGGAGATGTATTCATGACTCATCAGTGACTAACTTACATCACAACTGTGTGTTCGTTGAGGTTACAGATAAAGAGCTATTATACTAGAAGGAAGGTGGTAATCATACTTCTATAAACAATCTGTGAAGTCTGTACAGGAAATAGTACACAAAAAAACTTGCATAAACAGGTTGCTCAATGAAATGTATTTCTCATGATGCATATGTAAAGTTAATTGCAGTGATTTATGAGGATAAAAATAATATGAGGGGACGCCTGGGTGGCTCAGTTGATTGGACGACTGCCTTCAGCTCGGGTCATGATCCTGGAGTCCTGGGATCGAATCCCGCATCGGGCTCCCGG